TTTTTATGCTCTGCAGAGGGGATGGCTGCCCTACATTGGTAGCCCGCCGACCTGCTCGTGAATTCGAGCACTTCACAATAGAACAATTTTACGAGGACCAGTACCGCACATACCCGGCTTATCAATGTGGTCACCCACTCTCTAAATGACCGCAGTCAGTGATGCTTGACTTAGGTGTTCTACTGGTAGCCATGTCTTTGCGATCAGTAAACTGCGGGATCGCTAAAAAACGAAAATAGTGTACTTACAAGGACTAAATTAAGTATAAAGGTTCTGCTTAAAACAGGTTAGAAGGATTATCAGCATAATCCAAAAGTCGATTTTCGTCGGTATAAATAATAATGGACAGCTGACAAATGTTAAGTTGCCTAACCAATATTACTAACCTTATAACCTTATTGCTGAAAAACTTTGAGGAAAATAAGTCCTCAAATTCTAAAAATTATCAATTACCTTTTCTCCCGATCAGCGTCTTTTTATATTTAAAAGTTTCATGGTATCAAATCGCAATCTATCATCAAGTGTTTGTTGAAAACAGAAAAACAAATCGAGATAGCAAAAATACGGAATTCTTCCTAAAATTTAAATTAATGATCATAATTTTGTTGCTGCTGTTGTAGTTCATTTACGACGCACTAGAGCTGCGCAATGGGCTATTGGCGACGGTCTGAGAAACATCCCCGAGGATGATCCGAAGCTTTGGCCAAGATCTGAAAACATGCCTTCACTATTTTGATCCTTTACAGAGGGGATGATTCTCCTGCTTCGGTAGCCCGATAATCTGCACACGAAGTCGAGCACTTTACGGTAGAACAGTTCAACGAGTACCCATATCCCACCCCTTTGGTCCCTACGTAGATTGATCCAAATGGTCACCCACTTGCACACTGACCATAGTAAGTGATGCTTGAATTCGGTGGTCTGGTGGGAACAGAGTCTTAACGATCAGCCCACTGCGGAACATTCAATTAATCAAAAACGCTTTTAAGTATTGTAAATATAACTTAGTTTAATTTAGACATAATTTTGGATGTGTTCACTTAGAAACTCCCCTACCTTCCTTTATACGTCCCCCTTTTTTTAGGCAAAAGTGTTGTTTTGTGGGGTAGAATTGAATTTCTTCTAAACAGACAAGTTAGGTATGTTTGTGTTTTGTACGCTGAATTAAACGAGAATAATTCCCAAGGGATCGTACCAATATTTAAGAAGTTATAAGAGTTTCATACACGAAAAGTACAAATTTGTACTAGTACCTATTACATGTGAGATGCTGTTTCCATCTATTTTTTCAAGGTGAATCGAATACACAAGTCGTTAGAATAGTACAAAAGTTGCAAGACTCTTCGTATATAAAAATCTGAATGCGCAAGACTAGATTGCTAAACTAATAGTTCAGAAGTTATGAGGATTTCCTTCATAATCAATGCAATTCAAAAATAGACACGGTTCCCAGCAGATCACCGAAGTCAAGCATCACTGGCTACGGTCAGTGTGCGGGTGGGTGACCACTTGGATCAGTCTGCGTAGGGACCGAGGGTGTTCGGTATTGGTTCTTGTCAAACTGTGCTACCGTAAAGTGCTCGACTTCGCGCGCAGGTCGTCGGGCTACCGAAGCAGGGGTGCCACCCCCTCTGCGGAGGATCAAAATTGTGATGGCATGTCTTCGGATCATCCTCAGGGATGTTTCCCAGACCGTCGCCAATAGCCCATTGTGCAGCTCTAGTGCGACGTAAATGAACAAAACAAACAAACATAATGACCAACACAAGTAATAACCCTTCAAAGAATTAATTTAAAAATTTTGATTTCCATCAGATCCTCGGCAAGAAGCCTTAAATTTGACGGTGACATAAATTTATTAATTTTTTTCTTCAATTTACTTATTTCAGAAAAAGATTTTATATTCGTAATCATGTTTTTAATTACATTTAAGGAACATCAAAAATTTTTAAGTGCTTAGGGCCTCTTAGGTTCTTAATCCGGCCCTGAGAATATAGCTCATAATAATAGAATAAAAAATATTGCACATTCCACTTTAGAAATTACATTATTTTTTCCGAAAAGTTTTTTCTTTTGAAGTTGGCGCTTTTGTTACTTTAAATTAGTAACATATATATTTATTATTATTAAAAGTATCTTGCAGAGAGATACTAATGCTGGAGGCTGGAGAGATTTGTCGCAGAAAGCCCGAAAAAATTGTGCCACTGGGTTTCTTCCTATTACAATTGTGAGAAACTTTTAATCTGTCTTGACTGCTGTAAATATTTCATTTATAATTTTTATTTAAAAGGTGTTTCTCTAAATTTTCCTCTTTTGTTTCATTCATATCTTCCTTTAATTAAGATTTTTATTTATTTATTTTTTGATGTAAAAATATCAATAAACTTAAAGAGCAGACATTTTTGAGAAGAATTCTGATTCACTGTAGATCCGTAAAAGGAATGTCATAACTAACAGAAATACAGTTAGAGTTATTTTATAATTTTTATTTCAAAACTTATAATATACAACTTCTCAAGTTGGAAAGCATGAATATCTATCTCAAATAAAAACAAGCTCTACAGTGCAAAAAAGAAAATTTCCAAACATTAAAGCAAAACATCATGAATCATACACAAGATCAAAACTAATTCTGAGTCGTTTTTTTTTCTTTTTTTTTTTTTCTTTCTTTTTTTAAAATCAAAAATGTGTTCAGTTCCTAAACACCCAAAAATTAGCACTCAAAAGTTGGATTCAAAAGTCAAATCTTACAAGTGCTTATTTGTTCAGACAATCTACATTGCAACAGTGCCGGATAGGACTGGGCTATAAATCGATATATCGGGACATATCGATTTAACGCCTGTATCGGCAGGCCGATACAGGCGTTGATACAGGCATAAAATTATACGATGTACGTATCGTTATATTGAAACGGCCTTGATTGATGAGCGGTAGAATCAGAATCAGTTTTGAGAACATATATCGTGATCTCACATGTTCGTTTCCGCACCTCTTAGTTTTTTTTTCTGCTTTGTCGCGACTTGATATTGTTTCTTATAGATTATTTTCAGTGGGATTGACTTTGTGATCGCCGTCGTTCTGAACGTAATCTGTTAGTGAAAAGAATATATAAGGAAGTGTTTCTTAATTAATTAGGTAAATTTTTTTTTAAACAAAACNAATTACTGATTTTAAATTTATAAATCTTTAGTTGGTTTCATTTTTATAAATAAAATTATAACAAAACTTATTTTTCCTCTTTTGGATTTGGACATAAGTCAATCAACTTTGTTTATTCAAAAAAATTAGTAATGTTTGCTAATGCGACTTCTTTTTTTAAAATCATTTAGCACTTCGTTTTCTTAAAAAGTATAATCGTGTTTTTTAATTTTCTTTCAATATTGTCAGTTGAATATATTATCGAATATCAGAATTCTTCTGTTTTTATTTTTAAGAAATTAAACCTTACTTTGTTTTTTCGTTCAGACTTCGGTAATTATTCAATTTAACTTCATTATTTATGTGAAATAATAACGATAAAAAATTGTGTTTTTTTTAAAAGCGTTATTTTTTTTTTGTTTAATTCATTTAGCATTTTGTTTTAAGTATGCAAATAATTTTTAACGAACTTATTTTTTAAATTTTCTTTCTATATTGTTAGGTAAATATATTGATAAATTTCAATTTTATTTATTTTTTTATTATTTATTTTTAAACTAAGAAATCTTTCGTTATTTGCGCGATCATTTTTAGAAAATATAACATTAATATCTTTCTTAAGCAAAACATATACATCAAATTCATAAATTGATTTAAATCAATCTGAGTATGAAGTTTTGATAGAAATCCGACTTTCTGCACCTTACAATTAAATGAATTTCAAAAATACTATATCGCGATACATCGCTATATCGCGATGCAAAACTGACCATGCATCACGATGTAAAATTTCTTATATCGCCCAGTCCTAGTGCCGGATTAAGCGTACGTGGGGCCCTAGGCCATTCGAATTTTTGAGGCCCTTAGATTAAATTCTTTTTCCTCGTATATTTTTTATTTATTCCAATATGAAAATATTTATATATCTTTTCATTTAAGAAAGCAAATTTAAAATAAAAATAGATAATAATAAATTAAATTTTACTTTATTTTGTTAAATTAGAACTAAAAATTAATTATAACGTATATAATTAAAATTGACTTTTTTTTTTAAAAATCATTGTTTTTCTTAATTTTTTAAAATTTATTTTAAAAAAATAAATTTCAAGGGGGCCCCAAGCCATGGCCTAGTCTAATATAATGGGCAATCCGGCTCTGCATTGCAATAACAACTGTGAAATATTAAAAATCTGTAACATTAAAAGGGTAAGGGAAGTAATAAATTGTAATAATAGTATCAAAAATATTAAATTAGAATTATTATTTTCAAAATCAAATAATAATCAAAATTAATTTTTGTTGCAAATTCTGAATAATAATTATGCTTTAAGTTAAATGTTATGAATTTTTCCAATTTTATTATTTACTAAGCCTTAATGATCTTGCAAATCATTTATTTTTGGTTGTCTTAAAAAATTTTAGTGGTGCTCAGCAGTCTTAGTCACGCAGACCCTGGGCTACATTACCTATAGGAAGGTAAAATTATTAATTTTATAGATTTTAAATTTGTTCGAAAAGATAAAATTAAAATCTGATGTGCATTTAAACCTCGCTTTTAAATATAAAATCAAGAAAAGGAAAGGAAGTAATTAGTTTCACATTTGGAAATTAAACGTAAAAAATTCGTTTCAATGTTAAATTGTAGATGTCGCCACTACCTACACATTCTTTTCTGCGCAAACTCTTTAAGAATATCAACAAAACTTTTAATCTTTCTCGATTGCTGTGAATATTTTATTCACAATTTTTATTTGAAAGGAGTTCCTCTAAATTTCCAGCGCTAGTTTCGTTCATATCTTCTTTTAATTTAGCTCTTTAATTGAATAGTTATTTTTAAACTTTGTGGAACTTAAACCTGGCAACAATCAGGACAACCTGCGCCACCTGTTTGATGATCTCTTCCCGGGATTGCGCTTGCGCTGATCTTCCCTATCTGTGAACACCATCCCTTCTCTCAAGGAAAAGAAGGAAGGAATGTAAGGTAGGCATCATGTCGCGGAAAAAGAGAAGATATACGAAGTCAAAGGGAAAAGGTAAGAATATTAATACATTTTTAAGAAGATAATCTGTACGGCAAAATCCACATTTATCAATCATCCTGTTTACTCTTACTGTTTATAAAAGTCGAACTATTCTCTGTTTAATCTTTTATCTTCTCTTCCAAACAAGTGTTGCGAAACCTGGTACGCGATCTATTGATGCGAGACCAGTTGAGATAAAAGCTGCATTTTCATTTATATACTTTTTCCGAAGCTTCTTTTGATCTACATTGTCGTTTGAATTGTTCTACACGTTTAGTTACCATACTTTTTTATTTGAGATTACTGCTTGTTTTATATATTTCCTATGTTTTGACTTAAGTGGGTGGTGATTTTGAATCTCATTCAGGAAACGGATATTGTAATTAAGTAGGTAGTCTTACGATTGATGGAAGACAGCTGGAAAAATATGTACGACTCTAAAATATCGGTTGTCATCTTGTTAAGGGAGTTTAATGTTTTGAAGTATTTGTTTTGAACACAATTTTAACGGTACTCTATCTTCACTAGTGTCTTTCCTTCGTAAAGTTAAGAAATATTATGTTAGTTAAACATCGCATAAAATTACAAAATAAATGAGAAATTTTTAGAGGATTTTAACAATTTTAATCAAAGTATTTTAATAGAATTTTGAAACTTTTATTTAAATCATTTAAGTGCGGATAAGAGAATTTGTTTTGCTTTTCAAAAGAATTGGAGTAATTGAATACAAACAAACTCAAATAACATTTTAATGCTTACTGAATTCTAAATTCAGGATCTTCAATATATTTTTACTATTCCTTAAGATAAATAATTCATGCGGGTTATTATTTTTATAATTCCAAATCGGTATTTCATTTCAGTTACTGCTCCTTTATATAAGAAGTGTAATTTTTAAAATAAAATATGCAACTTTTTGTCAACTTTTATGTCTTGGAAATTAATTGTTTTAAAAATTTCAACTGTTGCCGATTTGAGAGTGTGTAGGGGACATTTCCTAAGAACTGCTGCGGAAAATGTCAAGAAGAACAAAGAGCAGGGTTGGAATGTTTTAAAAATCTAGTTAAAAAAATCGTTGATTTTTTAAATCACAATTTTATCTAAAAAAGTATTATTTATACAATACTCCATTTACTTAAGGCTTTGATAATAAACCATTGATATCAAATCTCATTGATAATAAATGTTTTATTCTTAGAATCAGGGCCGAATTAAGGGTCCCTAGATTAAATATTTTTCTCATATATTTTTTATTTATTCAAATATAAAAGTATTTATACATCTTTTCATTTAAGAAAGCATATTTAAAATAAATAATAATAAATTAAATTTTACTTTATTTTGTTAAATTAGAACTAAAAAAATTATTGTATTTTATTAATATATATTTGATATTTATTTATTTTTTTTTAAAAAAATCATTGTTTTTCTTAATTTTTTAAAATTAATTTTCAATTTTTTTTTTTTTAAGGGCCAGGTCATGGCCTAATGAGTAATCCAGCCCTGCTTAGAATCAAGAATAAGATTAATAAATTAAGAAACGAAATCTATCTTTTTTTTATTTTAAGGAGCTGAAATGTAGATAAGAATAAATTTTTTTTTATACATTGCATATCATTTTCTTATTTCAATGTGCCCATTGTGGTATGTAACATAATTTGCTGTTTTATTATCACTAAATATATTACAATTATACCCATTTGAATGTATATATATTAATTTCAGTACAAGTAAATTTAAAAATTATTGAATATCTACTTGTAAATAAAGACTTCTGCCAAGAATAACTTATTTTTAAAAATGTTTTCTGATCTAAATTAATTTACTTTTTGTTTGACAAGTTAGTTCTCTGTCGTTGCAATTTATTAATGTTTTTAGTTTGATAATAAAAAATAATAACTGACTTTATTCAATAATTAAATAGTAATATTAACCTATTTATTATTAGCAGTATTAAGAATTTTAGTTGCAGTATTATTGATAAATAATATCAAGTGTTATTTATACATGTTGTCAGATTATTAAACGTGAAAAAAATTATAAAAAAAATTGTCTGAAATTTTGAAGAAAAACAACAATCTATGTTTAATATATACTTTGTGAAACGAAACATGATTTTTACTAACCATGAGAAAATTCTTTATTGTTTCGTTCAAAGCTGCTAAAACCATAAGCACGTTTCTGACTAAACTGAAAGATGCACATCTTATAAAAAGATAAAGTTTAGGGTAAGACTGGTATTGTAAATCTTTCAAATATCCTATAAAGAATCAGACTTCATTTGGTTAAAAAATTGCTGTTTTCCACCAGGTCAACGTGGGTTGTATTGTTTTTTTAAAAAATTTTTTTTTATTTCCAATGGCAGAAATTGACAAAATCTTAAGAAGAATATGCAAATGAACATAGATAAGAGAAAAAAGTCAATGACTCATTAGCAGAAGCCTAGCACTCTAATATCTGTTCACTTCGAAATCTCTGTGTATAGCCGATCATCCCATCAAATGCTTCCTATCCATTGCTTAGAATTTCCTACAGAGTGTGCAATTCGAACTCGTAAAAATAGTGTGTGCAAGACAGTCATGACCCACCGCAAGTCTAAATTCTGCCACAGCCTTTTCACGGGGTCTGTCCTAAATGCCCTAGTTTAAAATGTTCCTCCAACTAGGTATTGTAATATGCCATGTTTTGTTTCTTTATTGTAATTTAGGAAGGCTTATTTTAAAGCTTTAATGTTAGATAATGTGAAACCTATGTGGCAGAATTTTTTTTGAGCTATCTGCAACTACACTCTCTAACACTAATATCTTTCTGCAAGATACTTTTAATACTGACAAACATATATGTTACTAATTTAAAATAATAAATATGCTGTGTTTACAAAAAAGACAACCTATAATTTTCTTAATTGAACATGTAATAATTTTTTTTCTAATATTATGGGAGATATTCTCGCATTTTGTTGGGGGAAAGCGAAAAAGATTATTTACTTCTTCACATTTTATAAATAATCATCAATATTTTTTTTAAAATTAAATATCAATGAAATCTGTAGTAGTAATTGCCAAAAAAAATATCTATGACGAAATCACGTAAATCAGACTCTGCAAAACATGTGTTTCTTTTCGAGATTAGATCGATGTAATAAAAAATATCGGATTTAAAAACTATGGAGAAATCAATAATTTCCGAAAATCAAAATTTGATGGAATTATTGCCTTAAAAAATAGATACTCAAATGCAGGATTCGAATTTTTCCATATTGTTTGAAGTATGTCCGGATGTTTAAAAACCATGTGGAAATCAATATCAATAACTGCCGAAAGTATAATGAAAACATTACATTGATTTATGCTACTATCGGTGCAAATTGGACCCCTCGAAAAATGATTCTTTAAATGCAGGATTCAAATATTACATGTAAATTTCTGTAAAAAAAATATTAATTCAAATATTACGTGTAAATTTCTGTAAAAAAAAAGAAACTCTTTTACTTTTCAAAAGAAAAATCTTTCTGCAAGAACTCTGTAACATTTTGCGACAATGTCACTGTGATTCTGCCAGGGTGTGTGAAACTAATGAGATATTTTTTTTAAATGTTTTGTACTAATTTATGTTCCTTTCTGTAGGACTTGTGTAATCTAGTAAAGATTTAAATAAATAAATCTAGTCAAGATTTAAATGCTTGATATTTTTAATAAATTCAGATAAGAATCAACTAATTTATTTATTTATTTTTTGTAAAAGAAGATTTTTCACACGTTTATATAATGTGGTGATTCTATCATAAGGAATACAAAGTAATTATAGAATAACATTTTTTAAAGAAAAAAAATTCTACTATTTGCTATCTTTATACTGTGTTTACATAATATAATTATAATATACTTAATATAATATATAATATACTTAATATAATTTTATAATATACTTAATATAATTTTATAATTATATTAAGTTTCAGGAATATTATGTTGCAATTGAGCACTTTTTATGTGTAATGAGCGAGTATATCTCTTTATTTAATTACTGTTTGCATTTTTTTAAATTTATTATATAAATAAATAGGGACAATAATATTTTTAAAAAATTAAGTATATGACAGATAAAGGTACTTAAATATGTCCTGTGAGGCCATAAAACTTTTCCAAACTATTGATGCAAATTGTGGTAATTGGTCCTAAGTGTAAAGCATAAGTATTAAAATTAATTAGCTTCCTTCTGAGTATGGAAAACTGGCTGATTTTTTAAAAATATAATTTTACAGTGTTCAGTATAATCTTGTATCTATTTACAATTTAAAAACTCAGTGAAAATTTTTTTTGCAATAACAGGGCTCTATTTGCACAAAATCACAAAAACAGGACCCTGGTTGAAAGAATGTAACTTTACGTTTATTTTTTATTCACAAATTAAGAATAATTTTTTCACAATTTTACGAAAACAGGACCTTTCACAAAATGTCTGGACAGACCCCTGATAATGCTCTCCTTTGTTACTTGTTTTATAATTTTATCTCAAGATTTAGGTTATTTATATTGTGCGCATTGTATAACTTTTAGTGTTAAAATGGTTTAACAATTTTTTTCTACAACTTAGTCTCCTGCCTGCTCCTCTTTCTTGCTTTAGTGACCTCTCCTTTATCTTTGATTTTTTTTTCCTTAAAAGTTTAAATATTTTTTACTTAAAAAAAAACGGAAGATCATTTTATTTATTAATTACTACTCCCTCTGTCCCAAATTAGTTACTACATTAGGGTTCATTCCCTGCTGGGTTGCTACATTTCAAATAGGTGGAGTTCCGAAGTAGACTGATCGTAAATATGCTGTTACCAGTAGAACACTGAAGTCAAACATCACTGGCTGCTGTCAGTAAGCGGGTGGGTGACCACTTTGTTTAACCTAAGTAGGGACCCTGGGTGCTCGGTATCCGTCCTCGTTGAACTATTCTACCATAAAGTGCTTGACTTCACGCAGATCGTCAGGCTTCCAAAGCAGTGGAGCCATTCCCTCTGC